AGAATCAAACATCAAAAAGGACATTCTTTGGCTTTGTTCTCTTCACTTAACGACTGTGCGATTAAATAAAAGAGCCGATTAAATCAGAATTTTAGACCGCCTGATTTAGCTGTCCTTCGCCAGTCCCTCCTTGAAGACAGAAGGAAAACATCTAACGTCAACAAAATAATTCCAGTTAAAATCTGAATCTGTAATTTGCATTTAGTAGTTGAATTGTGATTTAATCCACACCTGCTCAGTGCTTCCCAAACAGTTTTCAGCAAGCGGCAGGCTTAAATCAACAAATGTACGTGGCACATCAAATGATTTTAAAATAATTAGCTCTTACAATTCAGGAAATGACATTTGTTTCAAACTGAAACTGACTGACAATTTAATGAGAAATATGTGATATTTCCTTTTGACCAGAGCTACGAAATGCAAAAAGTGAGCTTTTTTCAGTGAACAGAACTGTTAAATATTTGGTTTAGTGCTGAAAAAAAGTTAAACAAAGCTCCCGTTCGACACTTCTTGGACATGATTTCATCCGATTCCTGCAGCATCAACAAGACTTTTCCATGGCACACAGTTTGGGAAACAAAGCCCAAGCGTACATAAATTGAACATATTCTCCTCCCCTCTTAGAGAGACTGACAATAAATTCCAAATTATATCCTCAAATGAAGGGTGGTGGAAACTTTTAACAGCACCTGATTACGAAGGTAGGCATCCCATTTAGATGAAAAACAAGGCTTCCTATGCAGCATAATTTCTAAGCAAGATGCATAAGCAGGCTTGCAAAATTTTCAAGCTGCAGCTGGTGCTCACCAGTGTAATACAGGTTACATCACTTGGAAAATGATTGCAGTGGTCTGTACCAGATTTAGTTTGTGCAGTTTCTGGGCAACAAAGGAGGTTGGGTGTTAAAAAGGCAAGTGCAAAATGCACTGGTTCAAACCTCCACTGAAACATTTAAAACATTACTGACAGCCACAACTGGACAAACTTTAATAACCATGAATATAAAATTCCTGTCATCTTCTTGCATCCTGCTGTGTTGAAGCCACACCCCAGACAAACTGAATGAAGAACCCCAGGGGAAAAGTCAACAGAAGGAAACTATTCAGGACTCACCAGGGGTTCAGGGTTTTGTTATGTACACTGGACAGAACTCACTGCAAGTTTTATAGAGCAGGAAAGTGTAGCATCGTTTGGCTATTTTAAAAGCTCTATGGCAAAGCAGTGACGTCCCAGCATGCATGGCAGCCCGTCATGCAAGGCGCTGGGTTTTACTGAATGCACAACACT